TACAGAGTTTGAGGGTATTATCTAAACTGTTCCATAGACTTACTGTACGATAAAAGAAAGTCCTTTGTCAAGATTTAGTTCTATACAGGGCTATATGCAGAAGTTGGGAGCTTCTGGTCGTGCGAACACTTATCTCACCAAGTGTTAGAAACTGCGAGGAGAGATAAGTTGGAGCGGAGCCGGCCATACACTTAAAAGCAAGTACGGCGTCACGGAGATATAGCTGAGATTTAATAGGGAGCCAGTGCAGTTCTCTCAGGAGCGGAGTCACGTGGTCAAATTTTCTGAGACCACAGATGATCCGGGCTGCAAAATTCTGGACCGCTTGTAGTTTGAGGAGGTTAGTGTCTGCTGCATTGGACCAGACGGAGGAACAATAAAACAACTTACTAAAAACTAAGGTGTTAATTATTATCAGTAAGGTCGATCTGTCAAACACGTGCTTAACACGATTAATTTGAGCTAAACTTGAGAAGCAAGAGGAGACATATGCTCGTGAAATATGTATGAAATATGCTCGTGAAAAGTAAGGCACGAGTCAAAAGTCACGCCTAGGTCTCTAACGACGTGCACCGGTATTAGTTCCTTTCTTAAGAGGGAGAGACGAATAACCTGGATATTATTTAAATTTTGTCGACTTCCATAAATAATAAGCTTAGTTTTATAAGGATTCAAGAGAAGACGATTTGCGAAGCACCAGTTTCGAATCTGTAGTAGATCAGCGTGAAGATCAGCAACAGCCTTAGCCCAGTCTTGGACTGGGAAAGAAATGTAAAGTTTTGTGCCATCGACGTAACTTTCAGTACAACAGTCAGACAACAGTCCTTCTCAGGACTACACTCACCCGGACGATCAGACTACACCTTCACATGTTACCCCCGGGTTTAAGCCATTTACTGCAGTCCTTTCACTTCAAGTTAAAAAAAAAAAAACCTTAAAAATATCGATCAAACACCTTGGAACTTCCATTAGAAGTAAAAGAGGGAATGGGGTCTACTCGGACAAGGGAGGGGAGGGGGACCAAAAAGGCATTGGGGATTGTGCTATACGTCAGCGAGACTAATAAAAGTTTGAATCGTTACTTTCGGTGGCAGTACTTTTTTCTTAAGAGCTGAATCAATTTGGAAAGCAATCATCTACGTCAGATCGGTGTAGATAAAGATATGGATCTAGCACAAATGAAATAGACTGTGAACATCAGTAACTTTTACTACAATCCATCGAGTATTTCCGTTCAGAGTTCACGCGGCAGGCTGATCTTTCCCGAGTAATAATCCCCGTTTCCAAACTTTGTGTGAAAGTTTTCCTGCAATAAAATGTAGATGATTCAAGTGACCAAGGCATCTTTTCCGTCTGTTTTCGCAAAAGAAGGGAAAAACATGTGCATTCAGAAAGTTGCTCTGAAAAGTAAACATTCGATTTCCACGGAAAGCTGTTTGTAAATGTTTCGTTTTTCTCTTTGCAAAAATAATGTAGATACATTTAAAGGTGTTTCTAAAGTGCATTATAGGCATCCCACTTTGCTGATAGTAGCTTTATGGTGTTACTATTATTCTAACAATTAAACATTCCGAGTATGTAAATTAACTTAGGGTTGGCTCGTACCGGTTTTCGCCTTTTTGATGGTTTGTAACTTTGAAAGAATACAACAGAAAGACTGACCAAGGCCAGTTGAACACTTTTACTGCAAAACAAGCGCCGAAGGCACAAGCTCCAAGGGGGGTCCGGGGGCATGCTCCCCCGGGAAACGTTTTCAATTTTAACTACCTAAACTGCCCTTTCCTGGCTTTTTGAGTCAGTCAGAAAATATATTTGCTGCAACTTGCACTTTAATTTATTGAAAATATATAATTATCTGTTTTTTTTTTCATTATGAAAATTCTGACCGATTTCCGTAAAGCAGTGGAAACCGGTATGGATCCGCGCCTGTGTAGGGAAAACTTTGAAAATATTTGTCAACGCATTATTGGGGAAAAAAGCATTTGTTGTTACCGTCAGACTAGGATTGTGCACCGTTATCAGCTTTCAATGAGCCCACATTTTTACCTTTCAGTGTACGATGTAATAAACACGCAAACATATGTGCCACTTTAATCCCTTGTTGAGTAAACAGCAGATCTACTAAAACCGAACTGAGACTGAAAAGCGGTTAGAAGTAATATGACTGACCACCTTGTGGATACATACTTCGAAATGTTGACGACAAAAATTATATTCTTGTCACAGACTACATTATTCGAGGGCCAAGCTCGAGTGATGTTTGTAAGCCCTGACGAAAACAATGAATTATAAAAATAATTATTGATCGTGACGCTGTCTACGAATTTTTGATCATGTACGAAAACCAAACTTAGTCGTTGTGGTTTCTGGGGTAAAAGTTTCACTTTTGGTAGCTTTTTATAACGTTATTCAAATATTCCTTCTATTTTTTTTGCTTTTCTAAAGTAGTGGATGACGCGAGCGAGCAAGATCAGGCGAGTTTTGTGCTCTGATCGATCAGCTTCCTTGGTACGGCCTTTTTAATTCCTGCTTGCATCACGCAAAAGGAGAATAGAAATGCTTGTAGCCGGTTAAAATACCTCGTGTAATTTCGTAACTACACAGTTTATTTTTGTCACTTGAGTAAAAATTGTTTTTCGGCAGTTTAGGCAACTGCGGATTCACAAAAGCATCAAAACACCGAAAGTATGAAGAGACCAGCGGATACATTCAGAAATTCCAAGGTACATGTACGTATTTTTTCCATTCAATAAAAACCTTTATTGAAGAAACCTTCACCTCGTCCCCAAAAATGGAGAGAATGAACTNGGCCGCTCACGCTTCCTTGCGTGGTACCCTTATTAACATCTTTCCATTGCCCGACAAATCCATCATACAAAAATACTGTCAAAAATACAAGACATTACAGCCAACTGTCCAAAAAGCCAGCTAAGTTTAGACGCCTTATCCCTGAGATATAGAATCAGTATTAACTATTAAACCATCATCCCTAGTATTAGTGAGTAGCTTTCCAATTATTGCGCTTGCATTAAGCCCTTCCCCTAAACGACCATCGAAAGTTCTTTAAAATGGTAGATATCATCGATTTTACAACAGAGACAGACATGGCAGAATCCAGAAAACTATTCGAGTATCTTGTCCAGCCTCGAGTCGCTGTTCAATATCCGTCTTAAGCGGTTCGTCATCTGCATGACAACCACTTCCTTGAAATCATCCAATAGATTTACCTTAATCAACCAATAGTGGGGAAGATTTCTGCTCGCCAGATAGCGTTGCAGTTCTTCGAGAAAACCAAGGAAATTTTTTCCCAAAGCATCTCCGCTCACCCAATTCGGGCCTCCCCTTTCAATGTAGTGCATGAATGCGGTCTTTAAGTGGTATGAATCTAGTGGTAAAGATGTCCGCGGCCTCTTGACTATGGTCTTCACGATTCGTAACAACTCGTGCCTACAGCCATGATCTTCACTGTCCATGGACGCAAGAAATTGCTTCTCCTTTGGTGAAAATGCCTTTCTCCAAAGAAGCTCGTCTTGAAACACATACCGCTTTCCTTTAAAAGGCTTGGGTACGTACCAGCGATCGTCGACTTGGAGGCTAGGAACGAGATCAACTGATAAATACCTCTCGTCAGATCCTTTCCTGAAAACGTCCACCTGGACTGCTGGTCCGTGGTTACGCACAACCAGACGAACCTCAGAGTATGGTGATTTAGGTTTAATCCTATTCACTGCCCGGCTAACAAGGCTTTTGAACCAAGGACCTCGAATGCTCTTAGCATTAATATAACCTTCAGGACTCGAATACTTAAGGAACATTGGAGAATTTCTCGCTCTAAGGCGGACGTACCCGGGCACTTCGGATTCGATAACCTCGATCTCTGTACTTGGTGTCTCCAGAATTACCATGATATCGGCTTCATCAGCAGCTTCAGTCTTCAGCCTCTCGTAAAAACTGCCGGTATACTCCAGTTTTAGTATTCGAATTTTGGATTTCTGTCGACAGTACTCTATGATCTGGTCTTCAACATAATCTTTGACCAACCTTCTGGCTCGTGTCGTAGTCTCTTCGGAAATCTTCACATATTTTACGGAGAACTTACGAAGTTTATTCGTAAGAGATAACGCGTTTCCTCTCTTTGCCTCGGTAAGTGCCATGATCTGAATTATAAAAAAAGACAATTTATTTATAAAAAGAAGAATAAAGATGAAAATAAGAAGATGAAAAGCGATATCGATGACTTGCACGAGAAATGAATTTAGTCATGCGTGGCAAATGTGTGATTATCCTGGGGGGTCGAACAACCCTCGAGATATTGGAATTCAAAATCATGCTGTTCCTACTAATGTTGCTTGTCAGTAAAACGGGGCGACAAAGTAATCAACGGTTGTAAACAAATCGATATGTCAACGGTAGACCAATTGATACCGACTTTTCAAAATTACACCGTAATACCCCCGTCGACTTTCCGAAGTAACGTGGCGACGTTAAAATATAACTCGACTTTTCTACGAGGGAGTTTCGATTAATACTCGTCGCGGTCAGCTTTTTTGTGACTGAGTGAAAGCTCTTGAAAGACTAAAGGTGAAACTATGAGTGAAGAAGCTAAATGCAATCGCTTTTCCGCGATCATCTTTCAGGATCATTTGCATCGTTGTGGAATTCCTTGCCGTTCCAGGTATGTTTTATTTTTAACAAAGAGTTCAGGCCACAATCGTTTTTCAATACAATAATTTCAAGTCTTCAGTCTTCTCACTGCGAGCTGCCAGTATTTATTTAGTCA